TAAACAAAACATTTAAACATTTAATGAATAGCCAACATTCATAATTGGACAAGTTGAAACATCAGGGCTCTTGTGGTGCAGTGGTAGTGTCCCTACCTCTGGACCAGGAGGCCTGGGATCAAATCCTACTTGCTCCGGAGGTGTGCAATAACATCTCTATACAGGTCGGTTAAGAAATAACCGGAAGTTAAATTCTGTTTCTGTTTAACAGAAAAATACCCATGTATTCCTTAAAATGTTATGTTATAACCTAAAGCACCCCTGTAATTTGGTAGTACTGTATAAAGAACAAAGCATTTGGATATTCCTTAATTTACCACATACTGCCATGGAACATATTATTTATCATAAACCCAAAGTACAAATGACCAGACCCCATATCCTGTATTAAAAAGGGCGATTTTAATCCTAGTGTCCAAAAAGTTTTTCCCTCTTAAACTTTACTTTTTAAATAACCATTTTGGCAAATGGTAGACTTTTTCTGTTTAGTTCCAAATTGATGCTTTTTATTTAGAACTGTTCACACATTTCAATTGGTTATTAATATTTTCAAATATTCAGCAAAATTAAAAATTTCAGCAAAATGGGTAATTAGGGACAGGCAATAAACACTGGCCTTGCCAGCAATGCACACATCCCATGAATGAATGCAGAAAATATCGAGACAAAACAAACACTAAGTTCTTGGTTGATTGAATACAAGAAGGGCAGTAAGTCAATTTTTATTTTGTTACGCATCATATTTCACCAGGGTATCCTGATAATTTGCTTCCTTTACTGGACCAGAAACTCAGTCTTCTAATTTCACATCAGTCAGGCTATCTGATTAGCTTATGTGCTGTCAAAGTATGCTGTACTTTGCTTTGTGTTGCAAATGGACTTTGGATCCATATTAATTATATATGTGGCAAAAATACTGCACTGGAAATCAACGGACCAACAAAAGGAGAATCCATCCAATTACAATAAATATTTCAAAATACTGAACAGCAAAAATCTAATTTACAAATATCAACGCATGCTTCCAGGCAATAGGATACCATTTGATGCAACTCGGCTTTCTAAAATTATCCCAGTGCTTTTTTTGTTTTAAAAATGTCCTGTTTTGCATATCCAATTTGTGCTCTTTAAGATTAAGCACTGTGCTTTCTGCAATTTCCTAATTCATATTTATTGAGAGATCATCTTCTGATTCTTATAGTTGTACCTTTTGCTTTCTAAGCAGGGATAGCTTGTGGCCCATTGTTTGCAATTGCAGATGCATATCTTTTGACCAGAGTTAGAAATGGCCACATTCTTTAATACAATAATTATCTTAGAAATTGGAAAAAGTCTCAACTTTCCATCAAAACTTCAATTTTAAAGTTCATGTCAAGTAAGGTTGCAATTTAATCAGCCATTGTGCATTAACCTTCCAAATATCCCTTCCCAAAATTCAGAAACAGTCCCATGATTGTGTTTGATGGTTATTTAATTCATTATTGCTCTGATCACTAAATATTCCATCTGATTTTAAAAATCACAAAAAGTAGTATCTGTATTGTCACTTCAATGTAGTAAAGCCTTTCTAAGTAATGTTATCAAACAAAAATGTTACCAAGCCACATAGGAAATTTTAGGGAGATGACCTAAAACTAAGTTATTAAGGTAAGTTTAAGTAGCTTCTTAAAGCAGGAAGAGTGAAAAATAGGTGGTGTGCGTTTGGGAGGAGCTTTGGGCCATAGCAGTTATTGAACATAGGAATATTTAAGAGGGTGGAATTGGAAGAGTACAGACATCTTGCGGGGTTAGAGGACCAGACCATGGAAGGATTTTTAAACACCAAGAATGTTAACATGAAGATATTGCTTACTCAAAATGAATGGTGGTGATTTACAGTACTTGGTCCAATGAGAATACAGGTAGTAGCATTAGACTTCTTTTTAGAGGCTAGAACCTGGGAGATCAGTCAGGATTGTATTGTAGCTGTCATATTTAGATATACAGAGGCATAGATGATGGTTTCAGCAGCAGATAAGCTGAGACAAGAGTGAACTTTGATGGCATAATAGATAGAAACATCAGTTGTGATGGTATGGTGCACAGCCAAACGCTCAGCTTGGGCTTAAATATGAAACAAAGATTGTGAAGTCTGATTCAGCCTTAGATGGCTGCCAGAGAAGAACTCTCTCTCTCTCTCTCTCTCGGAAAGCAGTTGGTGAGGAAGACTGAAATCAATGGCTTGGGTCTTCCAAATATTTGGACAGAATGTGTGCTCATTGAGTACTGGTTGTTAAACAAGCAGTCTGACAATTGAGAGATAATGGAAGAGTGAACAGGAGTGGTGGTGAACTATTCACAGCCAATGAGCAGAAAAGCTATCCCTGACTTGTATATGCATCAATATGAAAGACACGAGAATTATTTCTTAAAACGTTTAAAAAATTGAAGTGAAATAAAGACTTATTTGAAAAGATTAAAACTGAACAACTTTTAAAAACATACATGACACAGAAAATTGTATAATTTACAAAGGAACTCAAGTCAACTCATTTTTGAGGAAATATCTACAATTATTACATACGTATCCAGGATCACTTTAACGGCCTGAACAACATTTCAATTAAAATAGCAAAGTTTTGCAGAGTAAATTCCAATTACAAATATATTTCACATAAATCCCAGCACTGGATACCAACCTGTTTGAGGGTTCACGAGAATACTGCCAGGTGGTATGCCTGCAGCTTCCAAGGGAAGCAAAAAGAAGCTAGTGCTAGTAGGAATCACTTGCCCACTCATGCCACCATCAAAGGAAAGAGAATTACTAGTGTTGACAGCTGAATAGACGGCTGGCACACCATGAGTCTGGCTCATAGCTGTGACTGGAAGAGGTTGATGGGTGCGAGAGAGGGAACCCGTGGATGACCCTACACTACTAGAAGACTCTGAACCTGGGAAAGGAGTAATGAAAAATCTTTATCTAGAGACAGAAACATCATGCCTTTTTCCTTTCTATGCATCACGATGAATTGTCTTAAGAGTTCAAACATGCACAACGTTAGGAAAATTAGCAAATCCCCATTGACTCTAACATGTTAAATTATTAACAGCACAAAGTAACAACAATTTAATCAAGCAAACTCTTATCTCTTATATAACTGTACAGCTACAACATGCAGACTTAGTAATATATGAATGCGTAAGCTTCACAAAGTAATAGTAAAAGCAGCCCCTAATGAAAAGGTCAGACATTAAGCAGCCAACATTTTTTTCCAGTAATTATAGGTTTCTGTGTCTAGCTGCAGTCATCACAGCACAAAAAAGTTTTGTTTCTAAATATCCAAAATAAAGCAAACACTCAGAATAATATAATGAACACAACAATTCAGCAAGGAAGAGAATGCAAGCTCTTGGCACAGACCAAGTTATAATAGCAGACATTATTCTGAATACAACAAAAAGTGTTAACACAAATTAATGTAGGCTAGTATATCCTCAAATAAAAACAAAATTATTAATTTTGACAAGGAATTCAGAAAGCTTCAAAGAAGTGAATAAATGAACTAAACTGCAGTTTGCAGAAATATTCAATGAATCAGATATTCCTGGACTTATTTGTGAACATGAAATTGTAATGTGCAGATTTGTTTTTGCATTTTTCGGGAACAACTACTGCCCACATTACTTTGGATAACCAAAGAGATCTAAAACAGTATAGCACTAATTAGTCATACAAGTCAAAGAATAATTATTTACAAATGACTTACTGGCTCCTCAATAATTTAGTATTTAAATACAATGCCTGATGCACTCCTAAGCCATACAGACAAGTAGGTTCCAGGTTGACCACTAGTCTGCATGGAAGTCGCTCATCTCAAGTCAGGAAAACACTGGGATGCCAACAGTGGCTTTAGCACCCCTGAGCTCAGCAAAGCAAAAATCAATCTGCAGTGACCCTGGATGCAAAATACAGAGGCAAACGTCCACTCAGGACAAGTTGGACCCAGCTGCAACACTCCTTCGTTGGTCAATGTGCAAGCGAGCACGTGACTCAAATATGAATAATGGTCAATTTGATGAGGTACTCGAGGGCTGCTAGCCTTTGAGGAATAGTACCTACAGCAAAAGCCCTCACTTTCGGGCAATGGGCAACAAAAAAACCCTAACAAAATCTAATTCATCAATCAGAAAAGTGATGAGTAATAAAAGTTGATTTGACCCTCTGAAAGCCAACATTTGCCAAACTAGTACTTTACTGTGATTGTGCAATGTTGTGTATAATAAGAATGTACCTGCTTTTGAAAGCCTGCCTGTACTTTTGCTGCTACCAGAGCTATCACCTCTTGCCAGTACAGAAATTCCACTGAAACTGCTAGCTTTTGTCATTGCTGGTTTCAGGTTGCGGTTTGAACTATCTGAATCTGTACTGCTCCAAGGACGTGGCTCTGACCACTTCAGCTCATTTTCAGTACTGCTCTGACGACTGTTGGAGGATCTCCCAGTTCCATCCTTATTTCCTCTGCAACGTACAAAATAAAGTTAACATTTATCTTAATTTTCTAAGACCTCAAAATGTAAACAATGAATGAGTTCAGACTGCACAGTCATACAAATCTTCTAATTTGAACAAGCTTTCATGTACCTAAATATTTGTCGCCTTTGTTGTGTGCTATTAGCAGTTTCTTCTTCGTGAATTCTGTCGATGTTAACAGGAGATTTCAGAATTTATGACAAAACACCATGAAAGCCTAATCAATTAAACTGTCCATTCAAATCATCACTAACCTTTTATCTGTAAAGTAATTATCCTGGGAAAATGATAACTGAAACAAAAACACAAATTTTTAGTTGTAGCAACAAAACTAACAAAAAAAACTAAATGATGAACAATCATGGTATTTTTATATCACTAAGATGAAACCAACATTATTCATTGGCACCAATGATGTAAAAAAATAAATACTATAAAAACTCGACCATTTTCTGTACATAGTGAATTATTTAGTTTAAGGACAAGTTAATGTTATCAGCAAATTGTGTACATCTTGTAATGAACCTTGAAAGAAATTTGTGATAATGCATGGTTTAAATCAAGATCGACAACAAATGCAATAACAGCGATATTCAAGCTGTTGATTCAAGAAAATTGTTTTTACTTCACTATAAATGATCAGAGTATAAACAACATCACTGAATGATATGAGTTTTATAACAGCAATTTGTGCACATAAAAATTAACATTTGAAAGATTCTCCTTCAAACACATCAAGGAAAGATGATTGAATTGAAACATTCAAGAAAACGAAGGGTCTTGATAGGTAGAGACAGTTGCTGTTTCCCCAGGCTCAGGAACAAAGGGGAACAAGTCTGGCTTGGGGGTTCAGGTGCATAGATCTTTATAATGCCACAAATAGGTGCAGAAAATAACCAAGACAGCTAATGCAATGCTGGGCTTTATATTGAGAGGACTGGGATACAAGGATGCAGAAGTTATGCTGCAGTTACACAAAACCCTGGTTAAACCCCACTTGCAGTACTGACAGCAGATCTGGGCACCATACCTTAGGAAGGATATATTGGCGTTGAACGAGTATAACATTGGTTTACAAGAAATGACCCCTGAAGTGCAGGAATCAGTTATGAGGAGAGATTATGCAAATTAGAGTCTTAGAGTCGTATAGCACAGAAACAGACCCTTCAGGCCAATTCGTCCATGCGGACCAAGTTTCCCAAACTGAACTCGTCCCACTTGGCTGATCTGTACCCCGATTCCATATACCTGTTTTTAGCCCATATCCCTCTTAAACCTTTCCTACTCATGTAGCTGTCCAAATATCTTTGAAATGTTCTAACTGTACCTGCATCTACCACTTCCTCTGGCAGTTCATTCAACACACAAACCACCATCTGTGTGAAACAGATACCCCTAATGCCCCTTTTAAATCTTTCCCCTTAAAAATATGCCCAAATTAGGACTTGTTCTCTAGAACTTAGAAGGTTAAGTGATCTAATCAAAGTCTTCAAGATATTAACAGGAAAAGACAGGTAAAGACAAAATTAAACTATTTCCACAGGCTGGTGATTCTAGATCTAGGGGGCATAGTCTGAGAATAAGGGCAAAACCATGCAGGAGAGCTGTTAGGAAGCACGTCAGTACAAATAGGATGGTAGAAGTTTGGAACTCTCTTCCACAAATGGCAGTGGATGGTAGATTAATTGTTATCAAAAATTTATCTATCTCAGATTTAATGTTAAGAAAAAGGTATTAAGGGATATGGGCTAAAAGCAGGTATATGGAATTGGGGTACAGATCAGCCACGATCTCACTGTGTGGCGGAACAGACTCGAGGGGATGAATGACCGACTCTTACGTCCTGATGAACAAGGGCCTGATCGTTCAGGACAACACGAGGAGAAATTTCTTCATTCCAATGGTTGCAAATCATCAGAATTCTTTACCACAGGCGGTTATGGATGCATCATCATTGACTATATTTAAACCGGAGATAAACAGATTTCTAGGCAATGAAGGATATGGGCACAGGCAGGAAATGAGAGTTGAGCTCAAGATCACTATTATCATATTCACTGGCAGACTTGATGGGCTATATAGTCCTTGCACCTGTTTCTATCTTCTTGTTGTTCTTGGCAAACAATAAAAATCAGTAGGTAGACATCCAGCAATGGCATCCAGTATAAAGACACATTTTGAGGGCATCACAATTTTTCAACAGTAGCTTTAAAACATTTGAACATTCATATTGAAGCTATATATGAAGTGTGAAAAAAAATACTATGGCGTAGCATTAGTTCCAAACCTGCAATGAAAGCATACCATAACTGTGGTTAATGGTTTGGCTTCCTGTCCCTCTTAGATGAACAATATGCCTATAATGCTCTGCACTGAGTGCAAAATAAAAGTTACAAAAAATCTAGATCTGAGAAGAGCTCTTTGGAAAAATTATTTAGCTTTTTAACAACTTGCAGGTCTTAAAAAAATACTTTTACAGAGACTAATTTATTTTTGTTTACCCCCGAATAGGGTCTTGACCAGTAAAAACACTCCAAACTCCAATGGTAGGGTCATTATAATATTCTATTTCAAAAGCCTGTGGTTTTTTTTTTTATTTAGACTGCTTTAAAGATGATGTTTGGTGCTCCAAAAGTGTTTTCATGCAAGTGTGATGTAGGGAAAATTCATCTTTAAAAGGAGCTTGAAGTGCTTCAGTCCTATATGCCATCTATCAGAAGCATTATTTACATTGTCATTTCTTCTACCTCATATTCAAACACTCTGCTCAAGGACACAGTTTTCTATCATTTACCAGAGCTGAGTATCTATTTTTTTTATATGCGACAGTGGCAATGCTTATCAAGCACAACACCCGAATTGTGGCTGTGACTCGAAAGCACCCTTTCAAATTTAGCAAGTAGTACAAAGTCCTGTCAAACACTATTACAAGAGCACCTAAACATGATCACTAATCTGCTCAACAGGACTTGGGATTTGTGGCCATCTAATACTGTCAGCAACCAGTCTTTGTTAAGCTGATAAACAAAATTGGCTATGGATAAAATAAACTCCATTACCATTCTGCTGGCTTCTCTTTTACATACTTCCTGCTCAATGAGCTTCAATTTTTTTCCAGGCCTTTCCTCAGGATAGGTGACAACCATTTATACTTACAAGGGTCTATGGAACAGCATTCCATATCATACAGCAAGACTCCACAAAGATTTCCTGGTCAAGACTACAATGCAACTTTCGGTTTACTAATGTATCATTTACTCTAAGATCTCCACAACCAAATCAGTCAAGTTCGATGCCTTCCAGATTTTCAACTACTTATACAAAGCTTGTAACATCTATTTGCATATCCAATTTAAAACCGTATATTTACTTTTCTCTTTCCCACCCTATACTTACATCTTGAGAAAATATCCTATCTCTGACCCGCTGATATTCCTCTTCCCTCTCCTCTATTGATTTGCTTCTTCTATCATCCCGCAATCTGATACGTATCTGGAAATTTTGAACACATCGTCTTCTTAGGAGATTGAAATATTTCAAAGTAAAAAAAAAAATTTAATTGAAGCTTTAACAATATCAAAAATATATATATTTTTGAAAACAAATTCCAAAAAAAGCTTTGGAATTTAATTTGTCCATATTAGTACTGCTACACTCTTTTCTGAAAAAAGTGCTTTCTCAAGTGTAAATTTCCATTCTCCCGAGGCAATGTGTGTTTCTGTCACAATTGCCTTAACCAATTCCAGATATTCCCAATTTTGCCTTACATTTCCAGAAGGTAGCTGTAAGTGATTCATTTGAAACAAATAGCCTGTTTAATGTATGAGTCTCTCAGACTCTATTACTATGAAATATTCCAGTACCACCTGTGAGTAATCTCTTGGTTAGAAGAAATGCTTACAATTTTATAAATGATCATTCCTGGGCTGAACTGAAAGTAAACTATACAACCAAGTTTTAAACTGATCAATCTACTGGGTAGTATTCACAAAGAAACAACTCACATGAGGAATACAAACTTGGGCAGTCTTTTACCATTCATTGTTCTGCTAATCAGTCATGTCATTACTTAGAAGGATATCCCCATTTAATAACTTGTCAATGAGTTGTCAATGAGCCTGCCAACGTGGTAAACCCAGCATTTGCTAATGCAAAGAGCAACATCCTTGAAATACTTTGCTGTTCTTATCTTCAGAGTGTCAAATAATGCTTACTACAGTGATCATATAGGACTTGATGCACGTGACATCTGGTATACATACACACAAACATATACACATACATAAGCATTGTGAACAACGCAAAATTACCTGAGTAAAAATGCAAAATAAATTCTTTACTAAATTCAATTATTGCATTGAATTTAAATATAACATTTGTAGACAAAAAAAGATTATGATCTGTAAACTTCCAACAATTGAATTATATTATTAAAGTCGAATCCAGAGCTTAGTGAATACACCTGAACAAATACATGATCTGAACTAAGCTGTATGCCAAACCAATGGCTTGAATTTAACTTGATCCCGCCATCTGGTTTGTTAAAACTTCAGCTCCATATTTGTGCCAGTATAAAAATAGTACAAATAAAATTTGAAATTCTAATTATGACATCATTTTATAAACAGAATTTAAGGAAAAAGGAATGTTACAATTGGTAATTTGATTAAAAACACTCCAAGATGCCTGCTGTATATGCAACAGTTTATAAACTAGTCTAGTAGTGTCTGAATGCACCATTTTGAATGACAATAGTGTTTTCAAACTTGACAAATTCCACAACATGAAACTAGAATGTAATTGCTGCTTCAGAAAGAAATATATAAAACTTAAAACAGCAATACAACAACTTTTGCTTTAACAGAGAGATGAAATCCAAGACTGCAGTCAAATCAAGCACTTACTTGGTTATCATCTTTGTCAATACTTGAGTTATCTCGTTTTAAGATATATCTCTTCTGAAAATCATCACTTGTATCATCTTTTATATGTTCACAAAACTTCTGGTCAGGTCTAAGGAAACAAAATTGAACCATGACTAACTGAATTATGCAAATTACATATTTTTAAATCATCAATGGCAGACAATATCAAATCCAAAAATTCTACTTTTCTCCTGGTTTTGAGATTGTCTGTTTTCAATCTGCAAAATGTTGAAAATTCTCTCAAACTGCACCATAATGATTTTTCCATTTCTTGATTCAAATCAATTTGGTCAGTCTTCTGAGCAAGGAGTCAAAGAAGTGTTCTCTTTTTACATTTGCTTCTTTTGCAAGTTACTTCAAATCTGTGCTCATTTATTTTTACGAGTGGGATTAGTTTATCCCTATTGACTCTGCCTATACCTCTCATGATTTTCAAAACTGCCACCAAGACACCTCCTAGACATTTCTTCCAAGAAAAACAGTCACAACTGCTCCAATTTATCTTCATAATTGAGGCTTCTCTGTTGCTATTCTCAGAAACCACTTCAGCACTTTTAATATACGCTCATTCTTTCATGCTTCAGTTGAGGTTAAACTAGTGTCTTTAGCAAGTTCATTATGACATCCTTGTTCTTGTCTTATGCTATTATTTAATAAAGCTGAAGATACTGTATGCATTAACTGCTTTCACCACTTGTCCTGTCACCTTCAATGTCTCATACAAAGTTGTTTTCTGTGCACCAATTTACAGTGTTTTATTCAGTTTAAATAGGTATCAATGCTTGACATTACGCACACTTGCAGAATTTTATGAAAATTTGGGATTTCTTTCCAGGGAAGACATCAAATTCTTTCTCTAAAGGCTGCTAACTTGATGATATCAATGGGACAACCTTCCACAAATACATGGATGTTTTCTGTTGCCACGATTCCTGCCCCTGTCTACTGACTTAGTTTTCAGACTTGTCTGATGTGCAGTCTTGCAATAAACTGCAAATTCCTTGAACAAAAGCACTGGGAAGATCAAAAAAGTTACAGTTTTAAATTCCCATCCCAACTGAAAACTGCATTTTGGAAACCAACTCAAACCGGTGACCGGCCTCTGCCTTACATTTAAGCAGACAGTTTGCAACTTTGGTACAATAGCTCAGCTGAACTTACATAATCATAGAATCCCTACAAAGTGGGAGCAGGTCATTCAGCACATCGAGTTCACACCAACCCTCCAAACAGCATCCCTCCCAGATTCACCCCCCTACCCTCTCCCTGCAACCCTGCATTTACCACAGCTAATCCACTTAGCTAGCACATCCCTAGATATTTTGGCCATTTAGCACAGCCAATCCACCTAACCTGCACATCTTTTGACTGTGGAAGGAAACCGGAGAACCCAGAGGAAATCCATGCACACATGGGGAGAATGTGCAAACTCCACAGAGACAGTCGACTGAGGGTGGAATCCGGTCCTTGGCGCCTTGAGGCAGCAGCACTAACCAGTGAGCCACAATGCTGCCCTATTTAACTTTAATTTCATAAATGTTTCCATTCCAAAGATCACAGCCACACTTCCCATTTTCTTTTCTATTCATTCACGCAATGTGGGTGTTGCTGGCTAGGCCAACATTTATTATCCATTATCAAGAACTAAACACGCTGTGGGTCTGAAGTCACATGTAGGCCAGACAGCAGATTCCCTTCCCTGAAGGGCATTAGTGAAACAGATGGGCTTTTCTGACAATTGACAACAGTCATCATTCGACTCTTAATTCAAATTCTACCATTTGCTGTGGCAAGATTCAAACCTCGGTCTCTGCATCAATCATCTCGCAATAATTCCACTTGGCCATTGCCTTCCCTTATCCTGTACCTCTATTCTTGCTGATCTACACAAGCTTCTATGTCCTTATTATTCAAATTTACAAGCAAATCTTACATTTAACATGTTCACCAGCCCCACAACTCAGCCCTCAGGTACCATCTACTGCTGAGACTGATCTCATGCATCTAACCTCTCCCTCTGTTCCTTTACTGGCAACAACCAGGTGTTGTAGGCCCTGTGAAAATATGAATTCAGTGCAGGAGTAGGCCATTGAGCTCCTCTAAACTGTGCTGCTGTTCAACAAGATCATGATTGCTCTGACTTTGGCATCCACTCTGCATACCTATATACCCCAAAACCCAAGAGTTTCTTCGTTAACAAGAGAGGCAACCTACAGCTGCCTTGAAAATATTCAATCACCACACGTCCACTGTTCTCCAGGGAAGAGAGTTTCAAAAACTTAAAACACACAAAAAAAATTCTCATCCCTGGCTTAACATTCTCATTCCTGAATTAAACCTTATGCCCTAATTGTAGTCTTGCCAAAGGGAAACATCTTATTCTGTAACCACCCTGTCAAGTGCTCTCAGAACCGTATGTCTCAAGAAAATCACCTCTCGTTCTTCTAAATTCCAATGGAAGAGAGACACAGCTTGTCCAATCTTTCCTTATAAGATAATCCACCATATTCCAGGCATCAGTTGAGTGAATTCTTCTTTGAACTGACGTCCATAGTACATAAGAAATAGGAGCAGGAATAGGCCATCTGGCCCTTCAAGACTGCTCTGCCATTCAATAAGATCACAGCTGATCTTTTTGTGGACTCAGCTCCACTTATCTGCCTACTCACCATAATCCTTAATTCATTTACTGTTCAAAAATCTATCTTTGTCTTAAAAACATTCAATGAGGTAGCTTCAACTGCTTCACGAGGCAGAGAATTCCACAGATTTACAACTCTTTGGTTGAAGAAGTTCCTCTTCAACTCAGTCCTAAATCTGGTCCCCCTTATTTTGAAGCTTTGCCCCCTTGTTCTAGTTTCACTCGCCAGTGGAAACAATATCCCTGTTTCTATTCTATCTATTCCCTTCCTAATTTTATATGTTTCTATAAGATCCCTCCTCATTCTTCCAAATTCCATAGAGTACAGTCCCAGTCTACTCATAAGGCAACCTTCTCAATTCCAGAATCCATCTAGTGAACCTCCCCTGTAACCCCTACAGTGCCAGTATATCATTTCTCCAGTAAAAGCAACTAAAGTGGCACACAGTATTCCACATATGGTCTAACCAATACCCTGTCTAACTGTAGCAAAACATCCCTACTTTTATATTTCATTCACCTAGCAGTAAACAACATATTTCATTCCAAGAGACAGTAAGAACTGCTGATGCTGGAGTCAGAGATAACACTGTGTGGAGGTGGAGGAACACAGCAGGCCAGGCAGCATCAGCGGAGCAGGAAAGTTGACATTTCGGCTCGGGACCCTTCTTCAGAAATGGGGGAGGGGGAAGGGAGCTCCAAAATAAAGAGAGAGAGGAGGGGTGGGGCTGGCACTATCCCCCACCGCTTCCTCCGCTACATCGATGACTGTATCGGTACTGCCTCGTGCTCCTACGAGGAGTTGAACAGTTCATCAATTTTACTAACACCTTTTACCCCAGCCTCAAGTTCACCTGGACCATCTCTGATACCTCTCTTCTTCCTGGACCTCTCTGTCTCAATTTCTCGTAACCACCTCAAAACCGACATCTATTTCAAGCCCACCGACTTGCACAACTACCTCGACTACACCTCCTCTCACCCACCTTCCTGCAAGAATGCGATCCCCTACTCCCAATTCCTCCACCTCCGCCGCGTCTGCTCCCAAGATGGGGCGTTCCACTCCCAAACATCCCAGATGTCTTCTTATTTCAAGGAACACAACATCCCCCCTTCGTGGGTGAAAACACTCCCGACTGCATCTCTTGCATTTCCCATACCTCTGCCCTCACATGCCCTCCGCACAATACAAACAAAGACAGAATCCCCCGTCCCCACTAACCTCCATATTCAACGTACCATTCTCTGCCACTTGCAATCTGACCCCACAATCAAAGATATATTTCCGCCCCCAGCCCATCTGCCTTCTGTCGGGACCACTTTCTCTGCGACTCCCTCGTCCACTCCACACTTCCCACTAGCCCCACTACCCCTGGCACCTTTCCCTGCAACTGCGGAAGTGCTACATCTGCCCCCTCACCTCCATCCAAGGCACCAAACAAACCTATCACATCAGTCAGAGGTTCACCGGCACATCTGTCAATGTGGTCTATTGCATCCATTGCTCCCGATGTGGCCTCGTCTACATCAGTGAGACCAAGCGGAGTCTCAGAGTCCACTTTATAGAGCGCCTGTGCGCGACAAACGACAACACCTTTCAGTCGCAAAGCATTTTAACTCCCCCTCCCACTCCCTGACCTCCCCCAGTGTCACAATGACGCCACCCATGAACTGGAGGAGCAGCACCTCATATTCCGCCTCAAGAGCCTATAACCCAATGGCCTAAACATAGAATTCACCAGTTTTTAAATCTCCCCACCCCTGATCTCATCCCATGTCCAAGCCTCCCTCTCATCCCCGCCTCTTTGACCTGACACAACCTGTCCATCTTCTCTCCCACCTATCCATCCCTCCCACCTCATTGACCAATCCCCACCACTGCCTACCTGCACTCACCTATCACCATCCCACCTACCTTCCCCAGCACAACCCGCCTCCTTTATTTCTGAGCTCCCTTCCCCCTCCCCTATTTCTGAAGAAAGGTCCTGACCCAAAATGTCAACTTTCCTGCTCCTTTGATGCTGCCTGGCTTGCTGTGCTCCTTCAGCTCCACACTGTGTTAACCCATATTTCATTCCAAGTCATTTGCTGTGATTCACGTACTGGTGTCCCCAGATCCCACCCTACCTCACGTGTTGAGGAATCTCTATTTAAATATTATGTGGCTTTTCTATTCCTCCTGCCAAAGTGGGCATTCAGATTTTTTACATTACATTCTTGAATTCAGATTATTGCCTGCTCATTTAATCTTTAATCCCTTTCCAGATTTCTGTCTTCTTCACAACTTAATTTCCTACCTATCATTGTATCATCGGCATACAGTCAGTTCTGATATAACACGTGTTTCTTCAATGCGAATTAGCTGTCATGTGACTGAAGCAGAGGAGAACACTATTTGGCTACAAGGCAATTCCGTCCCCATCACTTTCAAGTGTCGCAGTTATTGTGGGATTTTCTGTAGCGCGAGGCTGTGCAAGAATGCAACTATCGCGTTACATCAGAACAGACTGTATTTAGCAATTTATTCAGTCCCTTCATCCAAGTTATTTCTATTGATTGTAAATAATTGAGACTCAACACCAATTCCTGTGATATACCATTGTCACATCCTACCAACTCAACCAATCCATTTACGCTCATCCTCTGTTTCCTATTTGCCAAGCAACCATAACACCTGGCATAAATCTAGGCACAAAAACAACAATGACAGACTCAGTAAAAACTAAAGAACTGTGGATAGTGGAAATCAGAAACGAAAACAGAAATTGCTGGAAAAACTCAGCAGGTGTGGCAGCACCTGTGGAGAGAAAGCAGAGTTAACGTTAAGTGACCCTTCTTTAGAACCTTGAACCCAAGATGTTTCTTGGCTAATTTCTGTTTCTGTTTCTGTTTTTTTTTCCTGTTTAATGACCCCTGTGACGATGCAAAGGCCTCTTTGTGGCCATCCACCTTGGGTCAAATTTAGTCGAACTGTCTCGTGGATTAGGCAGGCAACAACCTGACATAGTCATACTCACAAAATCGTACCATAGAATGAAGCAGACTTCACTGTCACCATCTCTGGATGCCCCTCCTACCTGCAGGACAGAACCAGCAGAGGTGGTGGCACAGTGATTATACATCAGGTGGAGTTGCCCTGGGAGTCCTCAACATTGGCATAGAGTTTAAGAGCAGGGTGTTTATACTGGAACTTGTTATGGACCAGGCCAGACCCCCTGAAAAAACTTAAAGATAGCCTTGACCCTAATTTTTCTTATTTTAAAGGTAGATGTGAAGTGCGTATTCCAGTTGTGATGAGACTGGCCAAGCTACTCGACGTTAAGCAGAATACAACTTATTTAAACACTACATAGTTAAAACACAAACAAAAGAAAGAAAGAGGAATTAGAATAACTTAACTATTGGAAAACCGAACTGAACAATAGATATAGTACGTGTTACTAATGAACTGTTCCAGTATGGCAACATCCATAAAGCTCCATCTCTTCTGGGACCCCAAGCAGCTTCTGACTGCTACAGCTAAAAAAAAAACCAGAAAGCCTGGTCTGTGAAAGCTGACTTCTGCCCTTTCATTGTTCCAATTGTTTTTAAAAAAACCCTATAGACCTCCTAAGTTATTTACTTAAGTCGTTTTCAGTAGCCAGGTTGGGACCCTTGCCTTTGCAACCCCTCTTCCAAAAAACTCCCCAAACAAAATAACCTATTTAAAGTGACAGCGTCATCACAAACTTTATAAAGTATTTGTTAGACCTAAAGTATTGTGTTAGTTCAGGAATCCATATTATAGGAGGGATGTGATAGCATGAGACAGGGTGCAGAGGAGTGTTGCTTGGACGGGAGAGTTTCAGTTATGAAGAAAGATTGGACAGACTGGAGTTCCTCTTCTTACAGCATAGGAAATGAGAGGAGATATGATTAACATGTACAAAATTATGAGGGGCACAGATTCAAAGTAAGGCACAAAAGGTGTAGAGGAGGCACGAGGAAAAGCTTTTTCATCCAGAGGGTGGTGGGAAACTGGAATTCACTGCCTCTAAGAGTGGTAGATTCAGAAACGCTCATTCCATTTAGATTTGTGTTTACACTGCAAAGGTATACAAGGCTACGGGTCAAGTGCTGGAAAATGGGATTAAAATAGTTAGCTGGTCATTTTTGTTCAGCTGGATGGTCTGAAGGGCCTTTTTCTGTGCTTTTGATTTCTATGACTCCAAATTCCACGAGTCTCGTGGCATCAGGTAAAAAATGGGCAAAGAAACTGGCTGCTGATTACCACGATTACCATCTCCCACTTCAATTGACAAATGAATACTCTCCATGTTGTACACCAGCTGGAGGAAGCAGAAGCAGGGCAAGAGTGCAGAATGTACTTTGGGGGAAGACTTCAAGACTGTCTGAGCAGTACATTACTTACTGATCTGGTCCTACAGAACGTAGCTGCTCGACTTGGTCTTTGGCAGAAGAGGGAAATATATACTTGGCCTCATCCTCACCAAACTGTTCAATACTACCACAGTGCTAAATGGAGCAGATTGAGAACAGATCCAGCAGCTCAAAGCAGGCTATCCATTTGGCACTGCATGCTAAAGTAGCAACAGAATTGTATTCCAATACAGTTTTTAAGTTAATCTCATGGCTTGGCATGTCCCTCACGTTACCATTACCATTTGAGTTCAGGCATCAATGTAGGAAAGCACACCACTACCTAAAAAAAAGAGATGCTAGCCTGACATTGAAAAGTCATGCTGAGGATGTACAGGACATTGGTGTTCTTCTGGAATACTGTGTCCTGTTCTGGTCACCCAGTTAGAGGAAGGAAGTGTAGGAGGTTCAGAGGCAACCTTATAGAAGTCTACAAAATAATGAGAGGTATCGATAGCGTTAATTGTAGTTGTCTGGTCTCTAAGAGGGGGGATTTCAAGATTAGGGGAGCACATTTTTAAGCTGAGAGGAGAGAGATTTAAAAAAGACATGGGGCAAATTTTTTTTACACAGAGGGTGGTTTGTGTGTGGAATGAACTTCCTGAGGAAGTGATGGATGTGGGCACAGTTACAACATTTAAAAGACATTTGGTTAAGTACGTGAATAGGAAGAGTTTGGAGGGATATGGTCCAGCAGCAGGCAGATGGGACTAGTTTAGTTTGGAATTATGTTTGGTATGGACTGGTTGGACTGAAGGGTTTGTTTCCATGCTGTCTGACGCTAATTGTCTATCTGTGTTAATTTATCTCCTACACTATGAGCTCTTATTTTTCAAAGGAGCCATGGATGTGGCACTTCGGTAAATGCCTTCCGGATATCCGAACACTGTACATCCATCAGTTCCTCTTCATCTACTTGCTTGTTACTTCCTCAAAGAACACAAATTAATCAATCAGATATGATTTGCATTTCATGAAATCATGTTGACTCTGCCTGACTGAATTAAAATCTTAAGTGCTCTGCTATAACTTCTTTAATAATAGATTCTAGCACTTTCTCCGTGACAGGTGTTAGGCTAATTGGCCTACAGCTTCCTGTTTTCTATCTCCCTCCTTTCTGGAATTGGAGAGGACTTCTGCAGAATCTAGGGTGTTTTGAAAAACTAAATACAATGCACCTATCATCTCAGCAGCAACTTCTTTTAACACCCTAGGATAAAGCCTATGAGGGTCAAATATTTGTCAGATTTTAGTTCTTTGCAATTTTCTCAGTTTCCTTTTCTGATGATTATGATTGTTTAAAAGTTCTTCATTCTCTTAATACCAGCCTCCAATTCAACGTTCAAGTGAATGTTTATGAAAACAATAAAATTATTAACTCAATTATAAATAAAAACATTTCACTATTTAAATTACTTACATTCTTGTGTTGCTAGTTTTGTTTATGATCACAGCTTTTCCTGTTTGGTCAACATTGTGATCCAAGCCAAAGTATGCAGCCACTCTGTGCAACAACATCCTATGGTAGGAGGTCATTGGAGGAAACTTCCTATACTGAATACTGAAGAGGAAGAAAGAGACACCACTGGTGACAATACACAAGCTGTGAAAACATGTTGAGCTAATGCATCGATATCAGCTCTTACTTGTTATTACTGATAAAATCCAGAATTTCTTGTTCTAACTTCAGCAACATCATTCTATCCCTGGAGAACAAAAAAAATTCAATCAGTGTCGTTAATTTGCCAAATATGCAACACGGTTCAAATAGTTGAAATGAAGCAACAACTAGAAACTGACATAATTTTTCCATCAATGATGATCCCATTGCCAAGTGACAAGGTTGTGATTGTTATGTCCAGTATGCATGCACAGGTTGCTCAAACTGCAAAGCAACTTATGCATTACTCTATTTACATAGTATTTAGCAGATCTGCATTTAATTTATCAAATAAAAGGCTACAAAATCAAAACTTAAACAGAGTTAGGGCCTTCCATTTATCTCCGGGCTAATGGAAGAACACATTATGATGCAAAAAAAAAGCATTAGGAGTTGGATCTACTGCCATTTCTGGCAATAGAAGCTCAGAAAGAAGTTTATCCTCTGTTGCAAACCCAGAACCTGATCCACAAGAAATCTATGGGATTCCACCTATTTAGCTGCAGGTAATCAAGTAAAAGAATGCCTTGATGGGCATAACAGATTTGTCTGTATAAATAGTGAATTGGTGTGGTTAATCTGGTTAAGAACCCTCAAAATCCCTGCTCCTAACTATACCCAAACCTGCACAAATCAAAACAAATTGAATGTGTCCCAACAGTTATAGACAGATTATGCCCACGTAGATTTTTCAGTAGCTTGGAACCTCAAACAAACAATCCATAATTGTGGAGTACCTTTCATAACTGATTTCTCAAAGCACTCTGCAGACAACAAATCCTTTTAGAAGTGGAGTCAGTGCTATTTTGTGGGCAATGCCCAGCGCATACATTAAGGGTCTACGAACATCACTGAGATGAATGATGAGTTAATACTAAAGTAAAAACCAAAAATACTGTGAATGCTAAAAATCAGAAACAAAAACAGAAATTACTGGAAAAGCTCAGCAGTTCTGCAGCATCTGGGGAGAGAAATCAGAGTTAATGTTTCAGGTCAAGTGACCCTTCCCCACAACTCTTGATCTGAAATGTTAACTCTGATTTCTCCCCACAGGTGCTGCTGGACCTGCTGAGCGTTTCCAGTTTTTGTTGTCGATGAGTTAACATTATTGGTTTGGTGGTGTTGCTTGACCCAGTTGTGAGTTCTGTACTGTGCTAAGCTGACACTATTCATAAGATGAACACCTGCAATATCACTGTAGGAAAGGACACATGTATACATCAAGGCAAAACAGGAATATGTATAACTGAAACAGTCTTTAGAGAAATAATTAAAAGTCCCTGTGGGATTTATTGTCATAACTTAAAAGATGCATGAAACCCTGTTTCACACCTTTCATTAAACAGGAGAAAATATCTGTGGAAGAATAACTATCATGCTCATTATCTAAGTAATGCTGTACTGTGTACTTCTGTCAAGTAGAGGTGTTTTTTTCACTACTTTGCTCTCCAAGTACATTGGCTGTCCTAAGGCTCAATCACAAAGATTCACTATCTTTCCACAGTGATTTTGGATGCACTAGATTCCAAAAAAAATCACATTTAAAGGACCAAAAGCCTCTGGACCAGCAGAGGCAGAGTTAGACATTCTCCTCTAGAGTGCCTTACTTTTGCTTAATCTTCTATTAAGTGGTGACACTTAGCAGAAATACATTATTACACAAAGGCTATATCTTAGCTCAGATTAGTCTTTTTGTGGAGGGTTTCTTTGGGAAATGTGACTGCCATTGGCCAATGCACCAATGATGACAGATTTAGCAGTAGTATAGGAGTACATTATGGTCAACTTGCAGCTTAATCTATTTTAATGTAATTTCATCTCTGATTTTCAGTTACAACCGTAGTCAGCAAGAGCTTGGACTGAAGTCAAGAGAAATAGCTGTCACTTAAATATTAGCCATGACGTGGAGGTGCCGGTGTTGGACTGGGAATGGACAAGGTCAGAAATCACATGACATCAGGTTATAATCCAACAGGTTTATTTGAAAACACAAGCTTTCGGAGTGTCAATCCTGAAGGAGGCCTGAGGCTCCAAAAGCTTGTGTTTTCAAATAGACCTGTTGGACTATAACCCGTGTCGTGTTGTGTGGTGTCCGACTTCAATATTACAGTAGTTCAAAAGTTGAACAACAGCAAAACAGACAATGTAACCGTGGATGCCAGCTACCAGTAAAATTATAATTTTGTTGATAAAAGCGGTGTTAAATTTAACCAAGATGAAGTCAATAATTAACCATTTCTTCACAGGTTGACATGGGGGCGTTTGACTACATGCATAACCATGGCATATATCATTGCAATTATAGCACGAGGCTATTCAATGCCCCAATATGTTAATGCTTCAATTATATATAGTTTAGTTCCACAGTCTTGCCCATTCCTCCATGTAGCAAACTATTTGCTGTGCACGCTTGCAATATCGCCAATTATTTGATTAGTGATCAACATTAGAACACCTTGCACAGAAAGTGTGCACTGTTATTTGTGTAGAAAATGCTGAAGTGTGAATCTGGTTTGCAGTTTATAAACAAGCAGAATTTGGCACAGTAGTTTTTTGTGCACTGCATAACCATATGCTGGATTTTCATAATGCAGTTATTGAAGAGCTTATGCCAGCTTTAGTTCTTTATTGAAAGACTATTTTTACTATCTCCATTTAGCAATAATTTTCTTGTTTGTACCTTTGGAAATGTAGATTTTTGTATGTTTATCAATTATGTGGCAGTAACATATATTGTTTGAAACTGCTGGTAGTGGTCCAAAATTCTTCAAATTGTTAAGGCAACTATGGTTACAACCTACAGCTGCTAAAAGGAAGGTGAGTATACAGTTATTTGACCAGTAAACTATCACTTGGCTGGTTTGATCTTTCATCTCAAGTACAAATATTAAATTTTCCTAATTTGTACAAAGCTTTACATCATGAACACTATGTACCTTAACATATGACACATCTTCAACATATAAAGTCAGAAATGTCAGTTTAGTATATACCTGGGATTATTTTTCAAAGTATTTACTAAAAATTCATGAAGATCTATTCCAGTGGAATCTGTGTATTCTTGGCTGGAATCTGGTTGAGAGAGGGAGAATGAAAAGTTTCATTCATTCACAAGTAAATCATTAATTATGAAAATCTTAAAATATTTTCATGAAGAAATGCAATCCACGCAAACCTCTTGACAACATTTTTTTATGCATTTTATCTGGTTTCTCTGTGCATTCTTCCTTTTCAGCTTCATCTTTTATAGTCTGATCTTCTTTATCAAATGCTTGTGTTAACTGGAGGTGAATTTTATCCTGTGAAAACACAAAGTAAATTCTAAGAAAAACATTCAATACGACAAACAGATTCAACCTATTAATGGTTATGGTGGGGCAGGTCACATACTATTATTTTCAATATATTTTGCCAAATTTTTGAAATCAATTTGGAAAATTTGTTAAATACCTTGGATAGTGTGTCATTGATCCACTAAGGAGACTCAAGTTTCATATCATTTCAAGTTAAATGGAACAGTGCCAATACAATATTGAATAAGTTAGGTGACATAACTATGAGATACACTCTCATGACAAGCAAATAAATTGTAGCCATACAAAGAACAGGCAATGTTTGGTAGAAAGCAAAGATCACAGAGGGAAAGATGAAGTTATGAAGCTACAAGTCTTATAAAACTGCTCGCTTTCCTTTCAAAAAAAGATCGCACGAAAACTTCCCAGTCATCAGAAAGTGATCTTGCTCACATACACAAAAAAACTGTTTCACCATGCACTGAGACTCATGTTCAGGAGACAGACTCTTATACATATTTACCAACATAGCTGTACCAGGAAGCTCTCGATGCTGGCTGACAACAAACCAAATAATAACCCATTGCTTAGGCTAGAGTTTATCACTAAAGCTGAAGGAAGTCTTAGTCATCATTCAAAAGATGCAACTCATTAGCAGGTTTGTAGCTGCATTCCTCGCTTCCAATTCATACATTTCCTGTATCTCCAATACAGAGCGCGAGCAAGAGAACGATAGTCAATGGAGAGCCCACGAAAACTGCCCATTGCAGGAG